TTAGTGGCTTATAAAAAATTACAACTGTAAAAATTCTTAGGACAATATATATGTCAGGGAAATACTAACTTACAAACGAATTACAAATTACACTCATTCCTTATTATTATTATTATTATTTATTATTATTATTATTATTATTATTATCATTATTTTTATTTGCCTTTTTGGCAATAGTTGATCCTTACCTTACTTCATGGCAAGTTTTACAAAAATCTGTATGTGGGAACATTTTTGGCGCGAAATCACAGACAGACTGACACTATAACTGCGCCTGCGTAACTAGTGCCAGTCAAAAAAAAAATCACTCTGACCCGAAGAGTTATTTATTGTTTACTGGGATTTAAATATTGTTTTACAGAAGCAAAAAGAACTATTCAGGAAAATGTGTGAGTATGCGATTTAATTTTGAAGTCAGGGCCATGTCGGGTGAGGCAATTTGTCTTTCAACTTGCAACAAACATTAGGTTGCCCGGTCATTGCCCACAAGAAAAAAAATCACGTGTATTTTGTATCTTTGCTCAGTACGAGTAGCTAGCGCTACATGTATATTGTAAGACAAGTTTCTGTACGTAACATACCCACATTGCAACTTGCTGTGTTTGTCAGTCGTCATCTTTGTGTTGCAAGTTGTAACCAATGGGCCATTGAATTTAATATATAGACCCCTATAGTATATGCACCCCACCCCTCCCGTCCCCCCTCCCCTCCCCCCCACCTCTGATGATAAACAATGGAATTGGTCAGGGGAAGGGCAAATAAATTAGGGCAAGGTCAGATATACAGGAATTCCAAAAGGAAATGAGCACAAAAGAAAAATTGAATTCTTCACTGGTGATTCTTGAGGGGTTAGCCAATTTCTTATGGCTGTCTATAGAGGTTAAGTCATTTGTAATGGATTCCTTGGGGGTTAAGATGTTTAAATTTTCCTTAGGGGTGAGAATGAAAGACTTGAAAAGGCCTGTCCTCAACAGGGCTCAACAGTGGGGGGGGGGGGGGGGG